GGAAAGCTTTTGCAAGTTTCTTCCATGCCGTGTTTCCAACTGGCTCCTCAGTACATCCTGCTCGGTCTGGCAGAAGCTCTCGTCACCCCTGCGTGTGAGTGGGAGACTCACTGTTATGTCTCCGTTTGTGCATATCGTTCTGATTTGTGAAACGAGTATAATGTGGCAAATAAGCAGCAGGAGACATGCTCATACAGTTTCTGTTGTCTGGCAGGCTCCCTCATTTCTTTCCAGCTCACCCCGAGCCACATCAGAGGGATCGCCCTGCACTTCCTCACTCTGTCCTATGGAGGGGGATGTTTTCTCGGTGCCTTTATTATTCAGCTGATGTACTTTCTCTCTGGAGGTAAAATTCAAACAAACAAACAAGAAAATACAAATACAGGACTAACAAATGACATAGAGGCACTAGTACTAAACACTGTGGTGCTCTGTTACAGGAAGCTTTTACCCAAGCACACTGCATGATGGCAATTTGGAGAGATTCTTCTTCCTCTTGGCCACACTGATGGCTGTAAATACGCTGGCATTTTGGAGTGTGTCATACAGGTACAGTAAAACAGGTAGACGATGGTTGTTCCATGTCCATCACAGTCTGTTGTAGGTTCATATCAGCAGCTGGTAAAGAATTTGATGTTTTAGCAAAAACACATACATAGAGTTTGATATAAGAAACATGATAACTAAACGGTTTCAGTGTAAACTTTTTATTCAAAGCATGTTTTTACAAGAATATTTGTAAAAAGAAAAAACAAGTATCACAGCTCTAAGTGTATTTCTTGTTACATTAATGTTGTGCAGGTACGTGGACCTAAGTGTTCAGGGCAAAGCGCTGACCATCAGCCCTCTGACTGAGAAGCTGCAGCATTACAAGGCCTGTCTGCGCTTCTATGACACTGTAGACCACACCGACTGCATTTTATGAATGATTTCTCTGAAATGTCCTCTGTTACTGGTGCTAGCACTTTGTTACCGAGTCAAAATTTATAGTGATTGACTAAATTGTAAAAATGTAATAATGTAATATATGAAGTGTGCATATTTTATTTATTTTCACGTATATTGTGTATTTAAGTAAATGTCATGAATTGTGAGCTTTGTTTTATTTACATAAATGTGAATTCAGGAGTAAACTGTGACATTTCTATATTGAAAAGGTGAATATTAGTACAATAAACTCAATAAAGAATATTATTATTAGTATGCATGGTCCTTACTTTAAGGCAGTTTAGCTAAAGCAATGACTCTGTTTACGTGACTGAACAGTAGCTGCAATTACAAAGCAATCATATTTCAAGCTCTCCTCACAATAAAAATCAGACCTAAAGCTATTAACCTCTTTTCCAAACAAAGTATGCTTAAACGTGATCAATTTTAGACATGACACAAACAGAATAACGTAATCTGTTTTTAACGTCACTTTGAAAAATATATAAACATTTAAAGAGTATAACTACCTTTAAATTATTGCATCTTATATCAGGATAAAGTTCAATACAAATAGTAAATAAACATTATATAACTATATGTAATTTTGTGAAGGTTTCTCCAGTGAATTATCAGGAAAAAAGGACAAAGGACATCTGTTAATGCATAATTGACACTGAACTATTACAGCTCTGTTGTTTAAACTATAATATATCTCCTAATATTGACGCTCAAAGTTGGTTATAGAAAAGAAATCACGCTAAACATAAACAACAAATAAGATGTACATTTTATTTGGTTAAATTTTTTTAAACCAATTTTTTTTCAGTGGTGAAAATTTTATGGGACTCTGGTTATGACAGCCAAAAAATGCTAAGAAAAATATGACTTTGTTATTATGACATGAGTCTATATGTGGATATAAAGGCCTGTTTGATTCTTCATTTTTTTTACTAGGAAAAAAGGACTCAGAGATCATTTTATCACTTTGTCGATCAATACATTAACATTGGAAACTGTGCACCATCTCGAATGTTGCTTATTCTCAGTGTTGCACCAAGATCCACAGAAAACCCGGGATAGAGGGGCTCGGTGAAGGTTGTCTGGATTTGGTGCAGCAGTGTCAAACTTTCAATCCAGGATACGCTGCAAAAAGCCAGCGTTCCCGCTTCATAATTAAGGTGTACCCCTACTTTGCGGAAGACAGCCGGAGGAATTTGACCTTTGTGAATGTCGTGGTCTTTGTGTTCATCCAGAGCACACATCCGGCACACAAACTGCTGATCGGTCAGGCAGTAAATCTCCTGAAGTTTGTCATGACGGCAACAGATGCTTTCTTTGATATTTATAGAAGCTGTGATCAGTCTGTGTTTTTTAAGAGGCGGTACAATAAAATAAGGTTCCAGATGAGTCTGGCAGTAAGAGGCCAAACACACCTGACAGAACATGCAAGCTTTACGTTTTCTCTCCGTGCAAATGTCACACTGCGCACTTCTCCTTCTGTTTCTTTTGGTATCCCAGTGGGTATAGATGCATTTCACACAGAAGCTGTGTCCGCAGGTATAGTCACTGGATCATTCAGTAACTGTGTACAGATGGAGCACTCAAACAGGTCCTTACTGTGAACCATTTTTCCCGCACAAAATCACAGCGAATTTGAATCTCTTTATAGAGCCGTGGCTTGTTGACAGTTTCCTGTCAATGGGAGGTGCACTCTAGGGTCGCCTTATTCCCGATTTTCCAGCAAATTCCGCTACTGACGCTTCAAAGCTGTAACTTGACTTATGACATAAAACACAGCGATTTCTTCTGTTAGAGAATTAAAAATAGCAGCTAAAGAGCGAGTCTCTCTTTATAATCCAAACAGAGCGAACATAAAAGTGGATTTTTCTCACTTATCATTAGGGGGAAAAAACTTGCTTTTTGAGTGGCGAAACATTCACTTGCGTTAATGGGTCATTGATGCCCCCAAGTGGTCAGTACATAAATGCATGAATAAAAACCTGTCGTGGCAGCATTCACGTGTTTTTTTGATCAGTCCACGCTTGAGCCAAATAAGATATTTATCAAATTCCTGGCCCTATAATACTAAAAGTCGCAATAGAAAAAGAAAAATATCCTCGATAATTAATAAATGAGGTGACAGTGCACTTTAGTATTTCTTACAGGTAATA